TATGTTTCGATGTGCTTAGATTCGTTAGATGTATGCTGGCGCGTAGGTTGGCCCATTGCTCTGGCGTTTATGGGCCACGTGCTCGGTAATTGCTGCAACATTTCTACTTACATAAACACGCATACTTGTATATGTACCAACATATGTATGTATTTGCTTATATGCATGTATAAATATGTGTGCGTGTGTGCCAAAATTGAAAACTAACAAATTCAATTTGTTTATCTTGTATTTAGGCAAAAGTGTTCAACAAGTGGCTTACTTTGTTTGTGTGGAATGTATTTAAGGTGATAATTTGGTGAACAAAGCTGCAGTTTTTTTTCATTATACAAGTATTCTTATTGTTTGTGAATACATTAATGAAATTTTTGCGTATTATCTTATACACTTACACTATTTGTCACGTCTGTCTGACGACGTAATCCAGAAAATATAATTTAAAGAACCGCGGAGCAGGAGTTTCTTGGTTCCAAATGGGTTAACATTAAAAAAGGGAAAGAAATATCTTCTAAATATAAAGCGTATTATTAATACTTACACATGCTCATTTGAAGGTTTTAACCAAGCAAAATAAACTCAAAATATCGCTAAATGATGAACATTTGTTAGGCGGCATTTAAGTTGCAAGAAGTAGGAGAGATAATGTCCTCTAACTAGATCAATATATAGCCTTCATAACCGATACGAGCAACTTCAGCTTAATCACATATGCACTATTATCTAAAACTCTGCAAAAACGGGTAATAACTACACACGCTTCCATCAAAAGTCATATAAATGAATGTTAAATAAAATGGCGTGATAATTATAGATTACCCTAACATATTGACTAGGTATAAAATAAGTTAAAGATGCGATTCATGTGATATCTCTGATCACAAATCACAACGACAGAATCGTTGAAAATGTTGCAAATGTGTTTTGGGCAGTATACTTTATCACAAACACAAGTTTGCGAGTGGCACAAAGCACGCAATAAAGGTTTCGAAGTCAGCGAACTTGCCTCATGCGTGTCATTCATCCACCTTTGTTAATAACGATAGCATCGAAGGAGTTCAAGAAAGCGTACTTGAAAATGATCGTGTTGGCGTCAGAGAGATAACAGTGGATCTCACCATTTCTTATGGATCGACTCAATACATTTTGGTTAATGATTTGGGTATATAGCGTGCTAATGCTTGAGTCATACTATAAGAACTGAGCGCATCGTCACATTCTCACATGATTGTGACTAATTTTTTGATCAAACACGAAACGGGAGTCATCACTATTTCATATGTGTTTGTAGGGGTTTTTTGATATACACATATTAACACTATTCACCAGTTTGTTCAGCTTAGATTTTTTTAAGTGTACTTAAATGCATTTAACGATAAATTAACACATTGACAAAAGATTCCGATACTTCCTCTACTACTGTCCAGTTTTCGCTAAACTTGATTTATCTCAGATGTCACACCTGCTATGAAGTGTTTATTTGGTTGGAATTGAATTTAGTCGCCCCAGTAGATTTGTGGTAGTCTAAAAGCTGTTTGTTGATATGATCCATACCTAGTTGCTTTGTCATAACAAAGAACTAGCCCAAAACTTAACATCAACTAAATTTTTATATAGGTTCCGTTTATCCTGATAAAGGATAAGGCGTTAAACCTGGATTTGTAACCGTCTAATCATCTACACGTTCTAATTAAATTGGTGGTGAAAATGTTGTTTGATCATATCTATACTTTTCGTTCCCTCATCCATATATTATATTTGATATTTGTATTATTAGATCACATCAGAGTCGCATTATCAAAAAACAATCATATTTATGGTCTCATTTGACCTCCTGAATAAGCGGCTACTTTTAATCTAATTAATGGTATAGAACATTTTCAGCGGCATTGTCACCCGAACAAAGAATCGAAATTAGTATAAAATTTTTGTCACACCATCGGTGGCAATTCATGTGCCTCGCGTTAAAGATTCTATCCATCCAATCTCAGTCCAGACAAAGTTGAAAAAGAGACACAAGTATAACGATGCATTCGCCCATTAATTAACTACAACAATACAGAACGTATCTGCTAAGTAAATGGCAATACTGTCGCAGATCATATCTACTCCAGTCTAATATTCTTGCTCTATAGAAGAAGTCTTGCTAAAACACTGATTGACACCTTAGTCACCATTACTAGAAAGGAGTAGAATATATCTAAATACGATGAAAATACTAAACAGGGTTCTTGCCTTTGACATATCTTTCCAAGATACCTATGCTTCAGTATTACAAAAAAGTTAGCAAATTGCGATCGTAGAGTGTCAAAAGTGTGTTGCAAGACTTTTATTTGACATTGATTTGTATGGAGTCATGAACGATGGAGATATAGTTTTCTTTGTGACAAAAAATCTTCGCAAACCCACCAAAATGCGACTGCATGAAATGTTTTCAAATTTTACGAGTATATATATAAATATTTTAAGAATGCGCAGTAAAAGATTTAAAGAAAAAAATTAAATATTTTTCGAGTTACTCGCGATCTCCGACGGCGCTAAAAACAGTTTTTCACTGTTGCATTGATTTTGATTTTCTCCGTCAACGACACTTAAAAAACAAAAATTTTATACTACAACATTTTCTCTGTACATTGACCTAAGGTCGATACAACCAAAACTTGGAAAATGGACGAAATGGTGGCGGATGAAAAAATACTCAGTCCGGGTCAAATTTTGTACATATTGCTTTCACCGTCTGACTTTTGCTAGCGACTTGACAAAAGCTTTTTTAAAAATAAAACGAATAGTTAGGAAATGCCGGTCTTTATTTGTGAACTTAGTCCCGGATATAGTTAGTTCTGAATAAAAATGTATGTAGAAGCGTTAATTGCGAGTATCAATTCTGTTGAGTACTCAGTACAACCATTAAAACACTTTTGTCTCCCGAAGATGTCATACATATTGGTATGTATATATTCGAAATATGACTCAGCCGATTTTTATTTATGTCGTGAGAGTAAAAAGATAGTCAGCTTTAGATAATTTACTCAGATATTTCTCACATAAAATAAAAGACTCAAAAACTTTCTACGTAGGTGCCGCTGGGATTAAAATATTATCAAAATTTATATTTATCATACAAAATAAAAGTCAAATGAAACAATAAACATATTGCGTTTTTTACGAATTTTTACATGAATTTCAAATATTATTGAACCTTAAACTATCACAGAATTGGTTAGCGCAATTCGGTTGTGGTCATATCGGCTCTAAATGGCTCTCTAACTACAAAACACCAAAGAGTGTTTATTTCAGACGAATACATGATAGTCTGTAAAAAATATTGAATGACCTAAGTTTCGGAAGCGTATATGTATGTAAGTAAAGTGGGGCATCTGAACGAAAATCCTATATTTACAGTTGGTAAGAACATTATTGGATAAAGAATATAACTGCAGTTTGGACGCCACAATAGCTCATATTGGCACAAAAATGAAAACGAACCATCACCTCAAGTATATATTTATTGTTATTTTAATAGTATACGCAGATACCAAAATTTTGAAATTTGTAAACTATATAAAAGACTAACCAACAAAATTATAGTGAACTTATGGAGATGAACATTACTCTGAAATAAATTATGCAAAAAAAATAAACAACAACACAAATCCAAAAAATAATAAAAACGCAGACGTAAGAAGTCCATCAATCGCTTAAGGCGCTTAAGAACGAAAAACGAAGGCAATATAAAATTACTTTTGGAGCAATTTGTCTACACTAAATCTATCTTGCAGAAATATTTACTTGTATAACAGTTGATGAATTGAAATAAAGTCTTGAGGAACTTTATTAGGTATTTTGAAAGCATGTATGAATTAAAAGAATAGTGATGGACTAAATGTTTCGATCTGCAAAAGTGAATTTTTTTTTTTAACTTCAAAGGATTAAGAACGAAACTAAAAACAAATAAATAAAAGCATAAATTTGCAATTAACATTTATTTGCAAACCCATTTATGTGTAGTATATACACATATCAATTAACTGTCTCACTACCATAGCAAACCAATTGGCATAATGATATTCCTTTGAAATATTCACATATTCATCACGAAATAATTGCCGCAAATATTCATTGCAACTTGAATATGAATCCACTATAAGTGAAATGCGCAGATCTTATGAAATATTTATCGATTGATTGCGATTGCAATAACAGCAACACAGCAGCGGCAATGCATTCTAACCGAAGCACAAACACACACACACACTCGCTCTTCCTCCTTGTTTGTGGATTGCTGGCGGTTGCTTACAGCTGAAGACGAATACTCAAGATAAAAATGAAGATGAATCCCTCGAATTTGTGTCACCCTCAGCTGCAGCCAGCACAAAGGAGCACGCACACACCCACACGCAGACACACTCGTATGGAAGGAAAATACAGTCGGCGAGTGAAGGTGTGCGACGAATTTGTAAGGAAGAAAAATTGCAAGCGTTCGTGTCATTGCATTGCTTCGGCCAGAGTTGCTTTTGTGCGTGTGCTTGAGTCTGCGAGGCGAAGAGTACTAAGTGCAACTAAAATGTTGTAAGATAATACGGAAAAAAATTGTGAAATGTTGGAAGACAATATATATAAAAAATGTAGAATAGCGCAGAAGGAAAAATGAAGAAATCGAATATTGCCAGACGAAATTTATTTTCTTTCCTTTTTATCTGCACATTTTCTAGTTGTTTACATTTTTAATATCCCGAGGTAGCGAAAATTTGGTTATTTTTTTTACAAGCGAAAGTTCGGTTACAGGCAAAAGTGCGATGAGCACGGAGCGGGCGCAGGGAGTGTCTGTTGCAGTCGAGGTTACGTTTGTATTAATAAAAGTGGGGAAAATTTTAATTTTCGTCTGTTTTAAATTTTGGGTGTGGTTTCTATAGAAAATTCGTGTAAAATAAATGGATATTAGTTTAATGTTTGATAAAACTAGTGGAATGAAAATATAGCTTAAAGTTTATAATTTTACTTACATATTTACAAATTAGTCGGAATTGGACTCACCTGAAACGAAAAGATAGTAAACTATGTTAATAAAAATAACATTAAGAAAAGAAAATATTAAATTAAAAAGCATATGAAGCAGATTTCTAACTGATGGGGTGTTGTATTAAAAAAAATATTTCTAGCATACAATTTTAAACGTGCTTTCATTAAGCACTTGTGCGACATCTCAGGCACCTTGCAATGAGGAGGGTAGGTAGGTGTGCTGCCATCATGAACGGCAATATTTTCACTACCGTAGGATCTTACAAAACAAGGCACATTCTATATCGAATAGCACATTTCCGTAAATATCACAATCAATATTTTTATGCCAATCGGACCTGTAGTTTTGCTTTGAATGTTTGTAAAGCCGTTCGTGTCTGCAAGTTTCTGGAATAAGCAAAACAGCAATATCGGTTAGCAGTTATTCTTATTAAAAATAAATAAAAAATCAGACAATAAAATCAGAGACCGCTGTGATAACCGTTCCCACGACAGTCCGGTTCATGCGACCGGTATGGACTTGGATTTTGATCCAGCCAAGGATTGTCAGGATGTCTTGGATGTTTTCTGCCAATACAATAACAACAGCACCACTTAAATGCTATAGTGCCAGTCGCTCTTGGCGCCTGTAAAAAATTGTTTTAACCAGTATTAAGTGATCGCAAATCGGTTACGTCGGTTTTTGATTAGCCAAGCCCAGGTACCTCAAAATTGGCTACCCCGGCGGAAATGTATAAAATCTACGATATCGTAATGGCAGATCGTCCATTAAAGCGAGTTAACTGAGATATCAGGTATCTTCGAAGACCGCATGCCACATTCTTTACTGAAATTGGGCTATCGTCACGATGGGTGTCGAGTTTGCTCACTGTTGATAACAAGTACAACTGTGAGATCACTTCATAGCAACATTTGACGCTGTTTAAGCGCAACCCGAAATTGATAAAATGTGTATCCACTGCTAGGAATCAAGAAAATATCAAGGCAGTAAACTTCACTTCATCGAACATGTTCCGAGAGATGCGAAAACTGGTGTTCACTGCATTTTGTTTCGAAACTTTAGTAAGTTTGTTTGCAGGCAGATACATTAGGGATTATTGCCGCCACGAAGGACTACTCCAAACCTCCAAAAAACTTATTTTTCAGAGGAATTAAAATGGTTAGAATTTAATTATTTTTCCTTTAACTTTTATAACAGTATAGTATATATGTAGTTTAAAGATATTAAATTTTCTCGTTGAAGTTCTCTTTCCTTTGGCTTTTTGAAAGCGGCAACACTGTCGTCACTATAGTTTTAATGACGCCATCTGGGCTTGGTAACGGTAGCGAGAAGAAAGCAGTAACTTTAATAATTCAATTAAGAGTCTTTATCTCAAACATTTACAGCAAATTCAGCAGGTAGGCTCTACACTTCGATTCAATCACAATTTTCCGAAGCGGAAGGCATTACTTTTATTTAAAGTTTAGACTTCTCAAATTCAAAAACAGAAACGAAAATTAGTAAGGTCAATCCATTTGGATTTTGAAAATATTTTAATAAAACTCTGAGAATTCTTGAGTATTAAAAAGCAACAAAAAAGGGAAAAAATAAATTGCATAATTATCATCAAGGAAAAATAAGTTCAGTAACAACAACAAGTATAAATAATTTGTAATTGTAAAACACTCGCACGATCGACGCACGTGAATCGTCGCTTGATCGGGAAAAATCGTACAAAAGTGCCGACCACAACAATAGCAAAAACGACGATGACATTTCAATGGTAGTGTGACCATTTATGTACATTTAGAAACCGTAATCATACAATAATAAAAATGTTAACTGCCACACGTTAGCCTTGTAAATTGGCGATGCAAGTAGCAGCAATAAAAAGCAACAATAACAACGCAACACAAATGCCAAAACAAGACGAACAACAGTAAATGGCACAACAAATAAGCAGCCACAGCTGCTGAAGTGTACTGTGTTGTTGTTGTTTTTGCTGTGTGCTATTATTGTTGCTGTTGCTGTTGCTGCAATTGTTGTTAATCTTGACTTGTACAACATTAATACGGAAGCAAATTAAATATCTGTTTCCATGCGGCATACAAAAACAACAATCGCTAGCAATTACCAAGCGCTCAACGGTTGTTGTGTGTTGTGTGTAAACAATGCAATTGTGCGTACAACTACAAAAATGTATGTATATATAAATGTACAATTGTGTGTGCATGCAATGTCAGTTAACTTGGTTAGTGAGTGAACGTGTGCGTAGGTAACAAACAACGTGCAACAACAAATCGATCGCAACAACTGTTCTAGACGGTGATTTTGTTGTTGTTTTTCACTTTTTATTCATCTTTTATCAATTTGCGGTAGTGCGTGCCGGCCTATACATATATATACACATATACATCATGCATACACAAGTGTGTTAGTGGGTGAGTGTGTGTGTGCGTGTGGCTGTGCATGCCCGTGCTGGTTGGCGGCGATCGCCACCAGCGCTCCACCTAAGCAACTGTAGCTGGCATTTAGTTAAGTAAATAAGCCTAATCGGTTGGTGGTGAATAACACAAGTGGACAAGTGTTGTTGACCGAGTGTCTGAAACAGAGTGCCAATCAGTCACTGATACTGTGGAAACTTTAAATCTGTAAATTCCGACAAGTTAAGCACTGACAAGCAATATAACTGCTCCACAAAATCGAGCATACTCGCTTAATCGGAGAAGCAAAGATTTTGACAGATAAAACTTACTAGTTTTCTTATTATACCAGGTTTCGCTGCGAGCCCGAATCAGACCGTGTTTATTATTTTCTAAAATATGGAGCAAATATATTTTCTGATATTTTTATATCTGTCAACTCAACTTCTCAACCTTTTGAATTCAAGTTTGCTTGTTCTCCGAGAGAGCTAAATAGCTTTACAGCTTTACTCAAAGAAACTTCGACGCTAGCCAACTCACCCGCGTATATTATTATGCCAGGGAAACCAAACAAAAGAAATGTGAATAACTGTTTTGAAGTTTGTGATAGTGAAAGCTATTGCTCGCAGTACTACTTGACTCTTTGAAAAGATTGGTGCATTATGTGAGATTCCTTTGTTTTTTACAGCTTCATTAAAACCGATTCTTTGAATCTGAATCTGAACCAACTGCGTGGGGAAAAAAAATCAAGAAAATGTGTGAAACAATTGGAGTGATAAAAATTTATCGAAAAATACTGGGTATTTCCCCGTTCGTTCTCTCATTCAAATCGACTAAGAGAATACTGCCAAAGGTTTTTTGGGTATTTAATTTTTTCAGGATTATATCCAATATACTATAATTGAAATATTTCAGATACTGGGAGATTTACCATATTGCTCCATTTTCCTTTCGAAAAGTTGTAGAGCCTAAAAAAACTTAGTTTTTAATGCCGTTTCAACTTATATGTTAAAAATTCCACATTTAAATAAAAAAGTTATACCAATATTGTCATTGCAAAGCTCTGACGACTTACCATTACATAGGTTTCTATATTGTATATTCTTCATCACTTAATTGTGTTCCAACAGGACAACGTTAGGTCACATACATCGATAGTGAAACGCCAAAAGCTTCGGCAGCTTCCTGCTGATCGTCTTTTACCATACATCCACCTCATAGTCCGGACCTGGCACCAAGTGATTATTACCTGTTCCTAACTATGGCCAATGATTTTGCTGGTTAAAAATTCGCCTCAAAAGAAGCATATAAAATTCGACTCACCCAGTTCTTTCCAAAAAAGTACGAGGGTGGCTTTATGAAATTACCTTGAAAACGGGACGTTATCGAACAAAACGCCGGACCGAATCAATGAAACGAAACTAAACCTTCAATTTAATACAAATATTACGATACACATTATATATAGAATTACTTTTCTGATTCGAAAAATGGAAAAATTTAATGGGTTAATCAAACACCGTTTCCATTGTCTTTGACTGGAGTTTTGGATCCAAAATCTTATAGTCATTAATAAAGTTCAATATTAAAATTTCACTGGAAATTAATAACTAGAAAATTACTATATTTTTCGAAATGCCACCAACTGTCAGTAAAAAATGTACGAAGACAGGGAGAGCCCACGCCTATTTTGCAAAAATTGAAATCGACAAATTTTCTTCAGTCACACTGACACTCATTTCAATGGTCATTATTAAGGGTTAAGCGTCGAGTCAACGAACCGCCAATGAGACACAAACTATTAAATAAACTTGCAAATGCAACAACAACAACACAAAATGCATTACAATAACACATGTAAGGGCTTCCACACAACGACAAACCGACGGCAGCAGAACGGACAAAAGCCGACCGAGGGGATAGAGCGCTGAAGGGAAGAGGGGCGGGTTGTGCGCACAGTGCGAAGTAGTTGTATTCAATAATAATTTCATGTCATTCATCGCCATGCGTTCATTTGTGCGTTCATTTCGTCATTGTGTGCTTAAAGGCAACATTCATTGTACGAAAATGCACAAAATGCACGAAAAATATTTACAAAATATACAAAAACAAATGAAAGAAAATTAAAGTAACGACGAAAAATACAAAAAACGAACAGAAAAACAAAAACAACATTTGTAAAGCGTTTTTTGTGTGGCTTCATTGCCGTTTCGCTGCAGTCGCAAATTGGCAATGAATGAAAACGATTGTGGACAGCCACATGCATACACACGCACGCACATAAAAAATTGCAAACACACACATTCATGTATAAGTATCAACCATGTGCGTGTGTGTGTGTGTGTGCGAGCTGTGAATTGAGTGCGCTGCATGCATTGCCGCAAAACAATGCTTCGGCCGCCACTGTGACCGGCGGGAGCACTGGCGGGCGCATGGGCAACAGCGGCAAGAACAACAGCGCCAGCAGTTGTATGTAAATAGTAGCAGCAACAACCACAACAACAAACAGCAAATCGCACACAAGTCAATAGCCGCCAGACCTTAGCCTATCATAACCTAACCCAACCCAAAATGATGCGACGGGCTCCATGTGTAGGCCCAGTGAAGTTGTA